AAAAAAGACCCGTTGTCTCTCCCATTCCCGTCGACAGAAGAAGAAAGAAAGGAAGGGAAGAGAAGAAGGAGAAGAGACGGAGAAGAGAGAAAGGTGAGGGGAAAACCCTAGATGTTGCAAACCTTGACCAAATTCATCAATTCCAAACCCTAAACCACTCCAAATATTCCCCTCTTTCACAATCAAAGCTTGGTTTTGAGTGAGAGTCTTTGTGGAGTGAAATTTTCTCTCTCAAAAATCTGCCCTTTTGAAGATTGAAGGAGTTTGGGGAGCATTTGGCTCCTTGGAAGCTTGAGGAACCATCACTCCTTGATTGTGCAACCATTGGTGGTAAGATTCTACTCCTTGAACCTTATTTTCATGGAAATTGCATGATTGGGGAAGATGATGAATAGTATTTAGGGTTTTATGAAAATGTTGATAGATTGGCTATGTTCTAGGAGGATTGAGACTTGGTGAATGTTATGAAAAATGTTAGTAATGACATTTAATCGATGAAAATGAGCTTAGTTAGTCATTGGTTATGCTTTGAAAATTGCAAGGTTTAATGCTTGATGTTGGACTTTCATGCATTAGAAATCAATGGTTTGGTTTGGTTGAATATTGATGGTGTCCATGTTATGTCTAGGATTAAGGCATTTGGACCAATCTTGAGTGACCAACCATTGGAGCAAGCTATGGAGCTTGATTAGCTCATTGGAATAGGTAAGTCCATGCTTTTGTTGTGGTACGAATTGGATAGTTTGGTTGATGATTATAAGATATTCTTGAATGCAATATGTTGATTGCATTACACCTTGTGTAGGTGGTTGTTTGTAAAAGTGATTATTGTAATTGGTGGCAAAACTTGTTGGTGAACAAAGGTTGAATTGAAGCTTTGAGGTAAGCCTTCGAACCTTGGGTGTAATTCCCTTGATTGTTCCACCAAGCCCTGATTGGGTAGTGGTTGTGATAGTGTATATAAATGCAATGAAATAGTTTAATGCTTTGTTATACGTATGTGTATTTTTTGGTGTGGCATAGGATGGTGTTTCCCTATGTTGGTATGTTGCATGACGATGCGTAAATCATACTTGGTAGTTTAGCTGGCCAGTAGGACTATTTGCATCTGAGTATCCTTAGGACAACTTGAGAGCTCGAGGAATTTCTCCTGGAGATGTTGTTTACACACTGCATGGATATGTATTTATTGCATTATTATTGTTATTGCTATTACATTGTGATTGAACTATGGGGTGGAGAGATGCTCCAAGGACCCCTGGTTTACTGTGATATATTCGTATATCTCACTCTGTGTTGTGGGGACCCCCTTTCAGGTAAAGATGCTGCAGGAGCCTCCGGTGGCAAGTGGCCATATTTGGATTAGTAGATGCATGAAGATGTTGCATTCTTTTGGATTATACATGACATGTAGTAGTACCATGTATAGGATTTGCATTTGAAAGCCAATTGCTATATGTATGTCATCTTCTATTTTGATGGACTTAGCATATGCTCATCTCTTTTGGTACCTCTTTTGTTGATGAGAGCCAAGGGGTTGATCATAGTGTTTTGTAGCTAAGTCCCATGATTTGTAATTAAGACATGTTGCAATGATGTAATGTTGTAATTGTTGGGTATATGTATATGATGAAAGGGTATGCATGTTTCTATGATAAATGAGTACCTTGAAAGCATCATGTATTGAAGTTGTATAATGTCTATTAGGTGTTAAGAAAGTGGTGAAAGTGGGAGGAAATATCCCATGAAGTCATATGAAAACAGGGGAGGGCATGTTTTGCCCAGTTTCTGCCCTTGGGCCTAAAACGCTCAAGTTGGGCGCTAACACGTTCTGGAGACCTGCAGAAGGCTAAACTTTCTGCCCTTGGGCGCTAAAACGCTCAAGTTGGGCGCTAACACGTTCTGGAGACCCGCAGAAGGCTAAACTTTCTGCCCTTGGGCACTAAAACGCTCAAGTTGGGCGCTAAAACGCTCTGGAGACCTGCAGAAGGCTAAACTTTTTGCCTTTGGGCGCTAAAACGCTCAAGTTGAGCGCTAAAACGCTCATCCCGGAAACAACATGAACATAGTTTAGTAAAATTAGAATAACTTGAACTACACAGCTCCAATTGGAGCGCGGTTTGAACCCACTCGAAGCTAACAAGGAGATCTATAACATAGTAGGAGGTGAGAACTATAAAGATAGTATAGAATTAATTGATAACAAAAGAGATGTAGATATTTAACGACATGTGGTCTAATAAAATGAGAATATGATGTTAAGCTTAGTTTAATTATTCTGCAAAGTAATATGGTTATGGTCATGCAATTGGTTATTTGAAATTCGACTTGTTTGAAAAGAAAAATTTACTCGGATTTCTAATTGACCCAATATGATTGTAACTGCGCTTAATATCATAATGCAATGTTAACAAACCGGTTCTAGAACGGGGTGTTACATTTTATGGTATCAGAGCAGTTTCTTAGGGAAACTTGTGGACTATTGTTATATTTGCTTGGTGTTTAATGCTTTATAGTTGTTTTAGTACTCTTTATGATTATTGCATGTGTGATCACTAAGTGTGGGCCTGATCAACTTATTTATTTGTGTAACATGTGTAGTGACATGACGAGGAACCGAAACAACCCTGGACCATCGAATACCAATGCTCAGCCAGAACCTGTTTTGGCTGCTTTAGTTAGGCCCCGAAGTGGTCGTGGGGCAACAGTTGGACAGTCTGATCCTGTTGCGGTCACTATGGCCGATATGCAAAGGGAATTGGCTGCTAGTCGACAGGCTAATGAAACCTTGATGAAAACTAATGAGGATGCGCGAACTGCCATGGCTGCGATGATGAACGAGTTGAGGACGTTGAGGGGTGCTAGACCTGCAAACCGGCAACCCACTCCTCCTCCTTACATTGCCACGCCTACTCCACCCATTCTACAGGAAGAGGGTGAAACGGGTAACAATGAAGGTGAGGGTAGTCACCATTCTGGTAGTCATAGTCATCACACCGAGGTTCGTCAACCTCGTGTAGAGAATGTTGATGAACACGAAGCCGAAGAAAGAAGATTGACGGCTTTCCGAAAACACAAACCTCTTACTTTTAAGGGAGGCTATGATCCAATGGCGGCAGCAAAGTGGCTCCAGGCTATGGAGAAGATCTTCAGGGTGATGAGATGCCCTGATGCAATGAAGTTGGTCTACTCCGTGTATATGCTGGAAGAGGAAGCTGATAATTGGTGGACCAATACAGTGCAACCCTTAGAAGCTGAAGGCCGGGAAATCACCTGGCGGTTGTTCGAGACGTTGTTCTTGGATAACTATTTCCCTAGGGAGGCTAGGGAACAGAAGCAGAATGAGTACAATAAAGGTAGTATATAATTAATTGATAACAAAAGAGATGTAGACATTTAACGACGTGTGGTCTAATAAAATGAGAATATGATGTTAAGCTTAGTTTAATTATTCTGCAAAGTAATATGGTTATGGTCACGCAATTGGTTATTTGAGATTCGACTTGTTTGAAAAGAAAAATTTACTCGGATTTCTAATTGACCCAATGTGATTGTAACTGCGCTTAATATCATAATGCGATGTTAACAAACTGGTTCTAGAACGGGGTGTTACATAAGTTTAGATAAAACTGTAGCTTAGGGGTTGGTGTCGGTTATACCATTATGCGATGATGTGATTTAAGATTCCATAAATTAATTACGAGATTATAATGGAATTATGGTACCAAAATTAACTAATATCCATGATTATGTTAATTTTATCAACTAAAGAACATTATAATTCTTTTAATTTATTAATAAATTTAATTTAATCAAGGAATTAATGTTTCTCATATTAGGTCATTTGAATAGAAGAGAGATAAAGAAAATATAGACTCCAAACACTTTTTTATGTGTGTATAGAAAATAAAATTATTTCCTTCAATGTGAAAATTAATAATCCCTCTAATCAATTGACATATTGGTTGATAAGTGATTTTTCTTCATTTTAAATAACTGCTACAAGCACTTTAAGCTTTAAAGTAAGGGTTCATTTTTTCTACGATCAATGTAGATAACTTATCTATATTGAGCACAAAACGACATCGTTTTGAAGCCAAAATCAAGGTATTTTTGTAATTATAATTTATTTCAAGGTTATAATAGTTTTTTTCATTATAATTTTTTAATTTTCCAACTCAAAACGACGTCGTTTTGAGAACGAATGTAAATAACTTATCTACAACCACGATAGAAACATTAAAGCCTTGAAGTAAGCTACTGTCATAATCTAAATAATTTAATTATTACATTAAAAAAATATAAAGCAATTGATTTATTTGTTTTTAATTTGAAAATTGAATCTGAAAACAAATGCTAAAATAATATATTTATATATCGTTTTCATATTGAAGAAACACAACATACATAACTCAAAGAATGTGGTATACCGATAAATCATTTACAATATCTGTCAACGCAAAGTATATTTATCTCTTCTGATCTAACTGTTTGAACAGTTGGATATTTGTTCTACACTTGTGTGATATTTAAAGCTTCATAAACCCATTATTCGGATTGGAGAAGTCAATAATTCAGATACAAGTCTTTCATTATTTATCAATCATGCACTTACCTTTGGGAGGGGGACATATACTAAATTATTGATTGAATAGTCACAGAAATTTGCAACTCAAAAATTCAGAACAACCAACCATTAATTAGATAATATCTCTTTTTTCTACTGAAAGTAATGAAAACGTAAGGGTGTTTACAAATTACAACATGCCAGGACACAGAGCCAAATTGCCTCCATTTTTAATACTAAGATTGAGTGTTCATGTTACATTGCTTTTAATTAACTGTCTCACAGAAATATGGTTGCTTTGGCTTGCTCCGTAAGCACCAGTCCCTCTCTCTCTCTCTCTCTCTCTCTCTATCTATCTATCTTTGCCCACTACTAGAAGCCTTTACTTCCACTACTACTCCACGTCCTCGTTTCTTTTTGCTGTTATATAAATAGCCTCCCTGAATTTACACATGACACATACCAACGTTACATGACACACACACCAATGTTAAACTACAACCATGATTCTAGTTCTACCTCTCCTATAACTCCATCTGGGTTTTCTTTTCTGATTTTCTTTTTCATGATTTTGAATTGGTAGCCATTTTTCCTGCGTCCCTATATAGAACCCGGTTCTCTTTTTCATTTTTAGCAAAAGGTAGGGACTTTTAACAATGTCTTCGTCCAGTTATGCTAGAAGGAGTACCTTCTTTTATCTGATTCTTGCAGTGCTTGTTGCAAAAGCTAGCTTTTGCTTTTCTGCCAAGGTATGTTTTTTTTATTTTTTATTTGGAAGTATTTTTGTTTTGGGTGTATTGAACAAATTATGGAATCTGGATTGGGTGGCACTGGCAGGTTTATGTAGTGTACATGGGAAGCAAAACTTGCCAAGACTCAGATGATATTCTGAAGCACAACCATCAAATGCTTGCTGCTGTTCACAGTGGAAGGTCAGGAACATAATTAATGCTAGTTTTCTTTTGGAAAATTCTGCAGTTTCCCTTTTTCTATAATATTTCAGATGTGATTTTCCCTTTTCCCAATTGTGAATGTTTTCAACAGTATTGAGCAAGCCCAAGCTTCCCATGTTTATAGCTACAGACATGGTTTCAGAGGCTTTGCAGCCAAGCTGACTGATGATCAGGCTTACCAAATTTCAAGTCAGTGAAATTTTTTTTTTTCTTTGCAACTATACAAACACAATGTTCAATTACTCCTTAAACCTCAATAGGCTCCAGTAATTTTTGTTTGTTTTTTGTTGTGTTCAAATTTGACCAGAAATGCCAGGAGTGGTTTCTGTTTTTCCCAATTCTAAAAGAAAGCTGCACACCACTCATTCATGGGACTTCATAGGACTTCTGGACAAAAAAACCATGGAGAATAAAGGGTTCTCCACCAAAAACCAAGAAAATATCATCGTTGGTTTCATTGATACGGGTGAGAAGTCTTACTCTACAAATAGCTGAAGCCTTTATGATAGATAACTTTTATGTAGCAACCCCCTCATCCTCACATACAATATGGACCTTTTCTTCATAGTCCCATGATGACATTTATTAGTCGGTTCACAAGGATTTCCTCACTTTATTTATTTTTAGTAGTAGATACTTACAGCTTTATCCCTCTACTTTTAGGAATAGAAGCTAAAGGAAAGTATGATTGAAAATACTGGATTTCACATGCCATCATTATGGTAGTCAAATTCTCTCTTATGGGAACTCCTTTAGTTAAATAAACCTTCTACAGAGAGTTAAAATTGAACCTAAATATGTTCTATTCATGCCCTGTTTAGCTTCTGATACAAATTACAATCACTCTCCAAGAGATCAAATTTAAGCTTGAAAATATCACCCAGAAAATGGTTTTGATACTTAATAATTACTGGGATTTTGTTAATAAATGGGAATCATAGAGAGTTTTATTCATTATCATTTATCACTATTCATACAGGAATTTGGCCTGAATCCCCAAGCTTTAGAGACAGCGACATGCCACCAGTGCCACGCGGATGGAAGGGCCATTGTCAATTAGGAGAAGCATTCAATGCTTCATCTTGCAACAGGTTTCTGGTTGAATCAAATCCTCATCTTTCTTTCATTTGACTTCATAGGCATTAACTTCCAGTTGGATCATCTTCATTGGTTAATTATTTATGGTATAGGAAAGTGATAGGAGCTAGATACTATATGAGTGGATATGAAGCAGAAGAAGGGTCAGACAGAAAAGTCTCTTTCAGATCTCCAAGGGATAGCTCTGGTCATGGGAGCCATACAGCTTCCACAGCAGCAGGACGCTACGTGGCAAACATGAATTATATGGGGCTGGCAGCTGGAGAAGCTAGGGGAGGTGCACCTATGGCTAGGATTGCTGTGTACAAAACATGTTGGGATTCTGGTTGCTATGATGTTGACTTACTAGCTGCCTTTGATGATGCAATAAGAGATGGGGTTCACATTATATCATTGTCTCTGGGTACTGAAGCTCCCCAAGGTGACTATTTCGATGATGCCATATCTGTGGGATCGTTCCATGCTGCTAGTAGAGGAGTGCTGGTGGTAGCATCAGTTGGGAATGAAGGAAGTCCTGGTTCTGCAACTAACCTCGCACCATGGATGATCACTGTTGCTGCTAGCTCAACAGATAGGGATTTCACCTCTGATATAATGTTAGGAAATAGCATTAACATCACGGTAAAGCTGATTACTTTGTGTTGGTATATTAACTGCACAGTTTGTGGACTCTAATTAGTTCTCTACAACTTAGACAGGGTGAAAGTCTGAGTCTCTTGGAAATGAATGCCTCCAGAAGAATAATTTCTGCATCTGAAGCCTTTGCAGGATATTTTACTCCTTACCAATCCAGGTGAAGTACAAGGTACTTAAAAGTGGGAACTGCCTAAAAATCAATGCAAAGGGGTGGCTTCTAAGTTAAATGTTATCCTGTTTTCTACATTTCTGCAGTTACTGTTTAGATAGTTCCTTAAATAAGACCAAGACCAAAGGGAAGGTTTTGGTGTGTCGACATGCTGAGAGTTCAACTGACTCAAAGTTGGCAAAAAGTAAAGTAGTGAAAGAGGCAGGTGGAGTTGGGATGATACTTATTGATGAGGCAGATCAACATGTTGCCATCCCCTTTGTGATACCTTCAGCTTCTGTTGGAAGAAAAACAGGAGAACGGATTCTATCCTATATCAATAGCACACGGTTTGTTGTTTCATATTTGATAAAAATAAACCTTTTTGTTAGTACTTCTGCTATTCTGCCATTCTCTAAACCAGCATTCTGTTATGCTGAACAGTATGCCTATGTCAAGGATTTTCGGAGCCAAGACAGTATTAGGAGTTCAGCCAGCACCCCGTGCAGCAGCATTTTCTTCTAAAGGCCCCAATGCCTTAACCCCAGAAATTTTGAAGGTGATATTCTCATTGATATACCATTGAGTTCATAGAATGCCTTCTTTTTTCCATTTAACTTAATCCTGGAAGATTTCTGACTATACTGCTCTGTAGCCTGATGTTATGGCTCCCGGATTAAACATCCTCGCAGCATGGTCTCCAGCAGCAGCTGGAAACATGAAGTTCAATATTCTATCAGGAACTTCTATGGCTTGTCCTCATGTAACTGGAATTGCAACCTTAGTGAAAGCTGTTCATCCTTCATGGTCTCCATCTGCTATCAAATCAGCAATCATGACAACTGGTATTACACACCTGTATAATTATCTAGAGGCACATATTTTTACTCAATGCGGTTTGAGATTCTTCTTAATCAAACATTAAGATAAAGCTCCCTACTAGATTAAATTTTATTTGCCAATGCCTCAAAATTTAGATATGAAAATTCAACTGTATCACCTAAAAGGGGAGGGGATCATTGCAATTGCATATAACTTGCAATACACAAGCTTCACTATTTCCACTCAAGAAACTAATCATAAATTCAATATGCAGCAACAATTCTGGATAAGAACCACGAACCAATTACAGCAGATCCTGATAGAAGGGCTAATGCATTTGATTATGGATCAGGGTTTGTGAACCCCGCAAGAGTTCTTGATCCTGGTCTGGTCTATGATTCACAGCCAGAAGATTTTGTTGCGTTCCTGTGTTCACTTGGTTATGATGAGAGGTCACTCCATCTTGTAACAAGAGACAACAGCACATGTGATGGGGCATTCAAAACACCATCTGACCTCAACTATGCATCTATTACAGTGCCCAATCTGGAAGACAACATTTCAGTAACTCGAGTTGTCACCAATGTTGGACAAGCAAGAAGTATATATGAAGCTGTAGTGTCGTCTCCTGCTGGAGTTAATGTTACTGTTGTGCCAAACAGGTTAATCTTCACAAAAATAGGACAGAAAATTAAGTTTTCAGTGAATTTCAAAGTGGTAGCTCCCTCAAAGGGCTATGCATTTGGGTTCTTGTCATGGAGGAACAGAAGATCACAAGTCACTAGTCCTTTAGTTGTACGGGTTGCACCAGCAAGCCTTGGGTTGGTCAGATAACAATGTCTATACATATATATATACATTAGCTTAGGAGTGTGAGATCCTTGTAGAGTTGTAGTCACTATAGAACAATCAGTCATACTTAAATCCTGATACAGTATAGATGATCACTGCCAAACTTACATTAAGTTATATGCTTTAAGCAGTTAGCGGTACCAAACACAGAATTTAAGAAATGATATCTTGATGCCCTGAACTTACTCTCAGATTCATTATCATTATTTGTCAGTTGTCACTACAGAACTTAGTCACCAAGGTTCTTCAGCAATTGCCATGTATACTAGTCTTTGGTATTGTCTTTTCCCACCAAAGTGGGAAGTAAAGATAATGTGGTAACTGTTTTAATCTTTGACCTCCAAATAAAAATAAATAAATTGGAAGTGAATAACTATAGAGATTTAAAATTTAAATTAAAAAATAAAAAGCAGATTAACACATAATTTGCTTGTCAAACGCTAGTTTATTTATACTATTATTAAGGTAATCAGTTAACACCTTTCATATTCCCTCAACCAATTAAAAAACAAAAAACAAAAATCGAATGCCACATTCCCTTACTCTTTTTCAATATATTAATTACCTCTACTCGCTTCTTATTTTTAAGGATATTTTTTTCAAATTACTACTTTAAATGAATATTAACATCTTCGCTCATACACCATTGATAGCATACTATTAAACTATTCTGAGAGTTTGGCAAGCACGGTCTTGTACATTTTAAGGGTAAAAGATTCTCATGTTTTTGTTAAAACATCCATCATGGTCAAGTTAGAATTCCAGGCCCAGGCAAATGGAAGCTTTGTAATGCACTCTACAAGTATCTGAGATATGCCTAGTTCCTCCAATATCTAGAAAGATGTTGGAGCTACAGTGAGGTTATATACATTCTTGGGCAAATTCTCCGTCCATAGTTTTATGGAAATTTCTACATCTTTTGTGTCGATATTTTCTTCCTTACATCAGTAAAGACAGTTCTGAACGTATGCTGCAAAATGGGGTTGTCTTATTTTACTAGTCAATCAAGTTACCTTCACCATAAGCAAAATGGAAACTAGGCAGTAAAAGAGCAACCTCAATCCCCATTTTACGTTGTAATACATTCTTGCAGAATCTAACATGCAATGACATCTCGGGTATCCAGTTATATTTGAACTGGCAACTCCGTTCTACATGGTCTAGAACTAGAAAGGTAGTCTTGCTTAGCTGTATTTGGAATTACATGCGCTCCGTGTAGACTTCATTCATTTGCAACTAGAAGAACTCTTTAGTTACTTCACCTAAGCACGAGCAAAGCCATCCCTAACGACAATAGCAATCATATTTTATTTCCTGATGATGAACCTTTCCACTGGTGTACGCATCAATTCATTAGCTGCAGAATACTCAAATGGTAAAATTCTAAACATATCAGAAACGACAATATGCAACAGCTTTCATGAGTGATACTGCGTCACTCTCTACCCCGGAGTCACTTTCGACAGCAAACTTTGTTCTCTAGCTGAGCCCCCACGTTCATTGCCCAATGACAAAATCATGCTGCTTTTAAAATACTATATCATTATTCATAATAAACTATAGGATTCCAGATGGTAAATAACCACATTGAACAAGAAATATGAACAATCTACTATGACTAAAGACATAAAATGATTAATATATTCTACCTCCGTTCCAGACATGAGTGAACGGTAGAATTTTGACTTATAAAATCTCTACAAATGATTTTATCCATCCAGTTTCTAAAGAGCTACACAAAAGGAGCCAAAAATTGACTTCTATTTTAGGGATTATATAACAATATATAGGTGTCATGATCAGAAGATGAAATCACTTAGAGTGATAGATAATTGCAAACACTATGAGTGTATCTCTGATGGATCAACAAGGCCTTCCATTACAACAAGCTGATCCAACAGTGCAATCTTCTCATCTTCAAGGGTCTTTACCTCATCTTCAACCTCTCTTAGCTCTTTCCCTACTGCGAAGCTCTCATCCTCCAGCTGCAAATACTTACGCCTCAATGTGCGGTACTCATTTCCACCTGCAGAGGAATCAGGCAATGAATCTGAATTGGAACCCTCCTGTTTCTGAAAAGGTGGTGAGACTTCAGTCATCAAGTGTCTTTTGTAACCCTTCTGTCCTGATTTTAATGACAGAGGAGCCTGTCCCTCTTCCTTGACAATATTCCCTTGCAACTGCAATAAAGATGCCTTTTGGTTTGAGTTTTTCTTCTTCCTTGGTTTATTATTCAAGATCTCCTCCGACAAAGGAATCCTTGGATCTTGCATTTCTCAACAATAGTCACTGCAGAATAATAAAAATCGATAACAAGTTAACAACACATGCACCTTAAAATTAGTTATATGATGTCATTGCATGAACCCTATGATTTCAAAGAATGATTTAAACAGAAAATTCTTTCGAGTAAAAGAAAGTTATCTGGACTCCCAAGACTCAGAGAGGAGAGCTTAAATTTGATCCAGCGCAAATATAAATGCTATCAATAAAAAAATAAAACGCCACATTATTGTAAAAGTAAAAACTAAGAATTTCACTTCTAATAAAAGTGTTTGATTGGCTTCTAAACAGGAAGAACCATATAATTGATTGATTGATGGCTACCTCAATTAAATCTACATCTTGATCAAGAAACTCAATAATTCATGCATTAGCATGCCAGAAAGCTAAATTAGGCGAAATAAAACAAATAACAGACACAATTTCACTAGTAACAAAAACACTTGTTCCTCGTTCCCAAAAGAGAGGCTTTTGGACCTAGTTTTTGCAACTCATCGAATTCATAAAACAAACAAACAAGTTTTAAGATCAGCAACTAAGTAATCCACCTAACAATCCATCCAATCTCGAACATAAATAAACGATACACAAATTCCCATTTTTCGGCTACAGCATATGTTAAAAGTAAGGAAAAAAGACAAACAAAAAGAAATTCAAAACCCTAACCGTTCCTCTCGAAACAGGAATTTGAAATCCAATTATGATTGGAAGAATAAAAAACCCAAAAATTGAGGGTGAAATTCAGAGGGAGCAAGGATGAATATAGAAGGCATACCTTGGGGAGGAAATCGAGCAAGGTCTTATTATTTTGTGTGTTAATTTTGAAACGTTAAGATGAAGAAGATAAGATCCTCAAATTCAAAAGATAAAAAAGATAAAGCAAATAAGGGTTCATCACTGTAGACAAAGCAATGGGTAGTGCCCTTGTTTATATATATTATCGGATACCGGTAATTGCTGACATGTCAAGCTATGATTCGTTGGTACATTAACTATCATCATGTCTTTTATTGTTGCATAGAACATCAGACTCAATTAAAAGACAGAAAGAAGAGCGAGGGACGATAATGTCAAAGGCAAGAATTTTTAAGGTTACTGTTCTCTCATAACCGGAGCTAGGCAATTACGCATCTCATTCATCATACGTGTTCAGCAAAATTCATAATTTTGAAAACGAAATAATGAGACATTTTTCAATAAATTATATTTAAACGCTAATTTTCTTTTTAAAAAAAGCCTTTAAGAAAACGGAGATAACTAATAGGTTTTTTTTTTAGTTGACCAAAACAGCAATGAATTATTTTATATGATATTTTTGTTTTAGGTATCTTTTTTATTTTATAGGAATTAATATTTCTATGTTGTAGGGAATAGTTTTATCTCCTACATATAAAGTGTACGAGGTTCATATGAACCCAATCTAATATTTATAATTCATTGAGTCACACTTATTAATTAATTATTAATTTTCAATAAAATATAACCGTTAGATTAACGAAAATCAACAGTTAAGAATTAGTCGTAAAAAAAAAATAGTAAGTATAGCTTTCTCCTTTAAATAAATAATTACACAATTGTATATAAAAAAATCTATATATGAATGTGTAGCAATTAGTTGGGTCGCACCGAATTCAAGCACGAATGGGGTTGAGTCACGCTTAGACTCACACGGTGATGACCTATGGCACACAAATTTAGAAGTTGTATCTTAAAATTTCGGAAGGCAATAACTTTTGGCTTGGGTGTCTGAATCAAATGATTTTTTATTACACATAACTTTGTTAGATATACACATCAGCAAAACCCGGAGGTCAAAAAATTTTCCAAAAAAAAATGTTTCCTTGTGCCCTATTTAGCACATTTTATCTATGTGAATGACGTTATTTAATTCCTATTCTTATTTTTCAACTATCCAATAATAACAAATAATTGTGACTTATTATGTAAAACTTATTCAACTTGTCAAAAAGTAGATATTTGTATCCCAAAATTTTGTACACTGTCAAGACCTTTTTATTATATGTATGATTTGTGGATTAAGGATAATTTGTATAATTTCTTTAATAAGTTACGTGATTACACAACTATATGAATTTATCTATGTGTAGATCTTGAAAAGTTACATGGAATAAAAAAAAATCACCCGAATTGGACACACGAGCCAAAAGTTACAGCCTTATAAAATTCTGTGTCACGTGTTATCCTCTGGTGAGTTACGCCTAAATGTGGGAGCGACTGAACCTTTATCGCCCCTAAATTTGGGCACGACAAGTCATGTTGAAAATTTTGTGCCACGTGTCATCTTTTGGTGAGTCGCATTCAAATTTGGATGGGACTCGACCCCATTTGTATCTGGATTTAAGCGAGACGGGTTGTTACACATTCATAAATAGGTTTCAAATTTCTACAATTTCTTAATTATTTATTTAAAATATAATATTTTAATTTTTTTGCCAAAATTTATTAAGTATTTCTACTAATATGTTAGTGTTATTTTTTGTTGGGATAAATTATTCTGCATACTCTTATTCTGCCTACCTTTGTCTACCTCTCTCAACACCGTTAGATTACAACATCATCCAATGATAGAGATTTGCAGGATAAAATAAATCATTTTCCCTTTTTTTTCTCGGGGGAGGATCCACTTACCACCAAAGAAGTTTACAACTTTTACAACCAATTTAATTACCGTTGATTTCCATCAATCGAACGGTTATAAATAACTGAGAATTAATAAATGTGACACAATAAATGTTATTAATTTTCAATAAATTATAACCGTTAGATTGACGAAAATCCACGGTGATTAAATTGGTTGTAAGAGTTGTAAACTTTTTTGTGGTAAGTGGATCCGTTCCCTTTTTTCTCCTCAATATCTCCCACACTTTTTCTCTCTCCTTCCCTTTCTCTCTATCGATTTGCGTAATTTACAACCTGAATTTATATTTGAATCTAAATTCATGCAATGATTAATGGCATGATAATTCTGCTAGATTAGTTTAATCCATGAATTAATCCACGATTACTGTAACGTTTCTACTTTGCTGTTGAAATTTGAAACGAATGAACTTATCTCCTTCTTATCTTGTTTTTTCATCTTGAAATGTGGAAATGATATGTGTTCTCTCTATGTTATACCCAACAACAGGCCAATCTGGTTCCATAACATATGACATCTGAGTTTATTTCTTCTTGACACCTTTCAATAGGCCTATCTCGATGAATTGAGAAAAAAACTTGCACTTTTTTTTAACGTTGAAGCGCCAACTGAAGAAAGAGAAAGGGGAGGAAAGAGAAAGAGTGTGAGAGAAAGAAAGGGAAAAATGATTTATTTTATTTTGCAAATCTCCATTGTTGGATGATATTGTAATCTAACGATGTTGAGAGAGGTAGACAAATATAGACAAAATAAGAATAGATAAAATAACCTATCCCTTTTTGTTTTCTATCTTCTTTCAATGATTTTCACTTTTTTATTAGTCGAACTTACTTTATCTTAGCTGATGATTAAATCAACATTAAAATTAAAATAGGAGATAATAACATACATGTGAATAAGAAAAAACTATGCATAAGCCTAAATGATCAAGTGACACATGCTAGAACTCGCCATCTTTGTGAAGAATCCATTATCGCAAATGAAGATTAAGTTCCAAGCGACTTAAGTTTGTATCAATTTAAGGTTCAACAAGTAGGATTGATGAATTACAAACAGGATTTGAAATTGTGTAATTAATTGAGTTATTAGAAAATTGATTAGATAAGGTTTCATTATAATTAGATTAACTAAATTGTTTTTACTATTCTTTTGCCTAATCAATTTTGTAGAAAATAAATGGTTCATCTTTAAAAATTAGTTGAAACAATTAAGTTGTTTTTACTTTTTATGTATAAAAAAAATTAAGTTGTTTTTAAGTGGGTTGTGATCAGGTTCAAGATTTGGTTCAAAGCAATTCTCTGCCACCCTGATATAACCCTAAACTACTGCCAAGTTGCGCAGAAAAGAAATAAAATCAATTCTAAAGCTTATCATCAACCTTGACCAACTGTACTGGGCCATATGCTAAAAGTTAAAACCATCACATGCACTTAAACATCGACGTTGGCACAATGGTTGTCAGATTATCTTTAAAGTGCGGTTTATTTCAAAGTCATCTTTTATTTATTTAAATTTTTATCTTTACAAAAGAGAAGAAGACTACAAACACTAAATAAATAACACACACTTGTACATTAGATTATTATATAACTAGTTCAATTAAAAATATTTTTATCATTCAGTTTAATCAATAAATTTGATTTTAAATTTTTAAGAATCTAGCCGTATTAAAATTTGATAAGAAAAGTTTTGTCTCTCATATAATTCTATCTTGATATGGCTCAAATGGGACTAAACATGTAATCAATAAATTAATAAATAATAAAAAATATCATTATCTTAAATTATAAAAAAAAAGTTTTGTCCCATATAATTATATTCGACAAAAATTTTGATCTTTTTACCCTACATCCCACGAGTAATGCATTAAGTTAAAACCATCATATGTAATTAAACATTGACATTGACTAAAAAAAAACATTGACGTTGACACAATTGTCAGATTATCTTTAAAGTGCAGTTTATTTCAAGGGTTTTGCATCTTCTGTTTAATACGAGGTTAGAAAATTTCTTACACATACACAATTTTAATAGATCCCATTATAAACAGAAAATATATATATTGCACGTAAAATAATTTTTCACTAACATAAAAAAAAAACAACTTTCCTGTTAAAACAGAAAGTGTTTTCCGTTATTTCAAAGTCATCTTTTATTTATTTAAATTTTTATCTTTACAAAAGAGAAGAATACTACAAACAGTAAATAAATAACACACACGGTGCACATTAGATTATTATATAACTAGTTCAATTAAAAATACTTTTATCATTCAGCTTAATCAATAAATTTGATTTTAATTTTCAAGAATCTAGCTATATTAAAATTTGATAAATTCTACTCTTATATGACTGAAATGGGTCTAAACAAGTAATCAATGAATTGATTATATCATTATCATAAATTATTAAAAAAAAAATTGTCCCATATAATTATATTCGACTCAAATTTTTTTAGTCAAGTAATTGATGAATAATTTAAAAGAATATCATCATCATAAATTATGAAAAAAATAAATTAATATCTATCTAATTCTATCTGACTTAAATCAAACTAGTTGAATAATTAAAAATAAAAATAAAACATCATTATCATAAATTATATGTATACAAAATATGAGAAATGTATACTCATTACCAAAAAAGTTTACAACCTTTACAACTAAGCTGATCATCATTAATTTCTGTCAATCTAACGATTATAATATTGGTTAGCAAAATAAAATTAAAAAAAGAAGTTGGTTATTCAAATAATTAAGAGGAATTTTTTGTTCGGGTACAAATTAAGAGAAATTTAAGTTCAAAGATAGAAGGTTAGTAGAAAATTAGCAAAAGGAAACCAGCTAGAAATTAAGAAAAGCACTTCATCACAACACAACACCACACTTCTTTGATTATTCAAATATTGCTGCTAGCTAGCTATGCTTCGCTTCCAATGCAGCCCCCACAACACTGACATGGCTCCCAGGCGTTACCTCACCGCTATCATCAGCATTCTGCTGCTGTTCCCGGCGGCGACAAGCCAAGCCCAGATTCTCAAAATAGAAAATCACGTTTTCGGTCCCTTCAACCTCTCTTACTCTGACATCTTCGACATGATACCCTCGTCGGCGATCAACTTCGGCGCCCTCCAAGTCACGCCGGACAGCGCCGGCAACGTCAATCTGACCAACAACTCCGGCAGAGTCCTCTTCAACGAGCTGTTCCAGCTCTGGGACGACGACAACGGTGACTTCAACGGAAAACTCGCTTCCTTCAACACCTCCTTCCTCGTCAACGTGTTTCGCGTCAACAACGCTACCCCAGGTGAAGGACTCGCCTTCCTTATTTCACCTTCTCCTTCGATCCCTCTCAACAGTT